CTAAATACACTTCCTAACAAAAAAAAAAGTATATATAAAGAAAAAAAAAGTTTTTTCTTTTACAAAGCAAATTTCACCTAAGCAGCTCAATGAGTGGAATTGAGAGCTTGTGCTTTAACTACATAGATCTTTAGTGCTATAAGGTGTCATACTCCTCAAAAAATGAAATATGTGTTTTATACAAGATCCTTCTTGCAGACTTGGATGCAGAAGAAATGAAGATGAAACAGGGGGCACTCACCTACACAAAACTGTTGCTGCCCTAGGTCTTTTTTTTAGTACTGGCAGACAAATGTTTATGGACTAATTTCAGCAATCCAGATCCTGAGCCTGTCTTGTGTAATCCAGTTCACTCATTTGATTTTAGCAGCAGTATCAAAACAGTCCAGAATGTTCAGTCAATATATTTATTTTATTATTTGTGAGTTCAATATAGTGTCATTCTCTCATATAATCAGTAACATTCAGAGCCTTGCACTTGCAGGAAGCTTGACATCATTTATTGGCCTCCACCAACCACTTTTAGTTAATTTTATTTAAAGTGTGAACTGCCCATCTGGGAATAAATGCACCATTTTTTTCATAAACAATGAAAGCATAGCTATATTTTTTCTTTAGAAAACTAGGAGTGCAGGTGTTTTGCTCAGGGTGTTACAACAACGTTTATGAGAAGTCATGACTTTATCTGCAAAGAGCAAGAATTAAAATCATTTTATTGCTGCTCAAACTCACTGGGGTAACATATAACTATGATGCTAAACTACAGCATTTTTACTGTATTTGTTTGTACATTGTAAGAGTAAAATATACTTACAGTAAACCTTTACCAAGAGAAATATGAAGGCTGTAATTGCTGACCGCCAACTGAAAATGCTAGTTTCTTGTCTGGTATGCTGGTCCCATAGCTTCAATAATGTTACTGGCCTGCAAAGCATGCTTATGGGCTTTTAGGACATTCACTACAGAAGATGCCTGATCATAGCAGACAAGGATGAAATCTTAAATGGATACCCAAAGAAGTATGGCTCTGCCCCCAGCCCAATTTACAGGACCAGTTATACTATAAATTAAAGCCCGCCTCCCAATGCCACCATTCTCGTAACAAGTACTCAATGCGAAAGCCATAGGAGGGTCCCGTATGCTGCCATGTATTGGCATCAGGAAAGGAAAATTACCGACAGGTAAGTATACAGTTACTGCCTTCCAGAATAACTCTGGAGGTACACCACTAAATTCTATCCGTAAGGATAAAATCCTTCGGAAGAGCGAACCCAAAGATTAATCTGTGGCTCCATCTGCTTGATCAGGCACAATGCATGTGACCTAGTGCACGCAGAGAGCCACTTTCCAAAAGCACCAGAAAGATGAACAGATCGACCTGAAAGGAAAAGGTAACCTCCATGTTCTTCCCCAGCGTAGCAGCCACATTTTGTGCATGAGCTGAAACAAAAAACTTGATTCTGGAATACTAGCAACATACAATGGGTATGAAGAGACCCCAAGAGACCATTTCCTGCACCCCAACTCCAAGGCTATGGGGGAGGCTTCCCTTATAAGACTGCATTTAGCCACCTGAACAAAGGGAACTTCGCAACAGGAGAGGCTGAACCTGTGCGGCAGGTCAGAAGAAACCGGCAAGGTGAGGGCAAAAACTCAAACACATTCTTAGTATAACCGGCTTGAGCAGTGAGGACAGAAAAAAGAATGGTGACCTTGGGAGGCAGGCTTTAATTTATAGTATAACTGGTCCTGTGATTGGGCTGGGGGTGGAGCCATACCCATTTTATGCTGGCATGTAGGTGTCAGGAAAGCAAAGTTACATATGGGATGGGAGAGCATGTGACTCTTCCTCTCCCCCTCCTACATGATACCTGGCAGGTACCTGGAGATTGTGTTTTTGGTTTTTTTTGCTGTCTGCGCCCCATTCACGAAGTGAAAGAAAGCTCTTTAAACTGAGAAAAAATGCGTTTTTAGACAGTTGTCCCTGGAACAGGTGTCCCCATTGGAAAATCTACTCATTTGCCTTCACTTAATGGTTACAATTCTAAAATGTTGTATTTCCAACTGGTCTCCAGGACAAATAAAGAGGTTGAATGTACCTAGTGGGGGCACAGGCCTCAATAAAACCTGACAGGCATTTTAATCTTTTCTACTCTATCCAAAATGGAAAAAAAATAAAGTTTTAATCATACATACACTTACTGTATATGAGAACCAATTAGAAATGATGGTGTCTCCAAAGTTATACTGAAGAGTTGTTTTACTGCTATTTTACAATTTACAGTTGCTAGAAATTTGTCTTATTGGCTTATAATTTATTTCTAAAATATTTTTTTAATCTAGAGGGGTTTTGAAAGGTACAACTTTAATGGTGATGTGCTACATATATTCCTTTGTGCCCCTGTATTATCTTCAACTGCATTGCTGCCTCTAATTTGATGGGCTTTTTTGTTGTGAACAGGTAATGGGAGACTCATGAAGACGGGTCACTTATTTCAATCTCTCTTCACTACTTCATACGAGAACTAATCTGAACATAGAAAGGGCTATTGAATGTCAGGTTACTTGTTAATTATTAATAAGGATGGATTGATCATTACTGAACAGACTGACTTAGCACTCTGCTACAACTTTGCAAAGGAGAAAATGTTCAGAAGCATGTCAAGCAGTATAAAATGTGTACGTTTTCACACCTCCTGAAGTTGCTGTTATATTGTCGTGGAGAAACAATAATTTGATCATTTTGATAATATATTTTTATATAGTTATTTGAAACCTATTTATCTACCTAAAAGCACACCGTATGTCCTGCTGCCAGATTCATGGCAGCTGGGAATATGTTTCCCTTCCTGGCCCTATGCTTCCTCTGGCTACTATCCCACTGGCTATTTAAGGGCTCATTCACATCAGTGTTGAGCTGCATTGCCCAATGAAAATAAAAAGCAAATAGCCTTATGGTGTGAACTAAAGCATGGAAAAACCAAATAACCGTATAAATAACCATGAAATAAAAAGGCTATGGTTACAATTCACACCGTCACGCAATGGTGTGTGTTGATAGGAAATGTAGCATTTTTGTGAACTGAACTGAACAGAAAAAGGGCTAACCCATTAATGATTTCAGAATGCAATTCACCGACCACTCTTTTAGTAATGTGTTGAGGTTATCTTGTGTAAGATAAAGTATTGGTTAGCTGTAGCTGAAGGCACTATAGTAACCAAACAGTCAACTGAATGGTAAACCCCACAACCATATAACTCATAGGAAACCAGTACAATTATCATTATCATAATTCTCACTGTTTAGCTTTCTGTGGAGAAATGCTTGATGCTGTTCAGAACGTTGACTGGCCCATTAGGTCATCTAAATTACCCACAGCTGAACACATTTGAGGTATGTGTAACAGCCCTTACTGCGAGTGATCACCAAACTCAAAACAAGAATTAGAAGAATGAGGCTCCTTAAGAATCAGTCAATCATTTTTCAGTTCAATGCAAAATAGAACAACACATTGTACCACGTAAAAAAAACAAAAAAAAATGGAAGCCATAACTCTTATTATTTTATATGAATAAATACTCCAAAATAAAAATTATTCTGGAAACTTTTTTAGTAGATCAAAACATATAAAGATAATCTTTAGATGTTACATTTCCAAAAATGTATAACACATTGGAAGTGGATCTCTATATAACTGCACATTTAACTTATGTCTCAACGAGCATCATTGGACTTTTGATTTGTTTCACAGATTGTGTTAAAGCTGTATAGTACCGTCTATAAACTCAGCGGGGGGAATTTATCAAAACTGGAGCAGACAAAATCTAGAGCAGTTGCCCATGGTAACCAATCAGCTTCTCTCATCAGTGTATTCAGTTAAAATTTGAAAATTAAAGAGAGAAGATGATTGGTAGCCGTGCACAGCTGCTCCAGATTTGATCAATTCCCTGCAATATGTTTACAGCAAGTTACCACCTTCTAGTCAGCTGTAAATATTTATCAGTGTTTTCTCAAGGTTTTTGAGCATCATTGTAATTGGAGAAATAATCTAGCTGACTGGTCCTTTATATATATACTTTAGTAGGTAACAGTTTCTCATAAAATGTATGTGTGTTAGAAATTATCCTGTGTAATTCAGATTTTACTTAGGCTATATTATTAAAGAATTACATTTTAAGAAGAAAAGACAATGTTTTAAAATGGTGAACTGTGGAAATGGCTAACATTTAAATTTTACCTTGCAATGAGTGAGCACCTAGGCAGGACCCAACACTCAAAACACCCAAATTATGTATCTGTGCTGCCCTCTCCACTACATTGTACTAATTGACATTATAGTAGCAGAATATTGCATGGTATGGTGGAAATTGATCTTTTTCCAGTCCAAAAATGTATTTCCACTTTTGCAGGCAAATTGGGATAACACCTCTATTTTAAATTTGTTACATGTTCCCATTCACAACTTTAAAAATATTTAAAAATGCTGCTTACATTGCAAGTGCCTTTTACTTGCTTAAAAATATTGTTCTAGTGACAACTCTAAAATTATATTTTTCCCTTTACCTTCTAATTCCATAGCAACAGTCACCAGTGCAAATAGGAGGGTAAAACGGAGACACAGACAGCAAAAACCTCACATAGGGCCTGACCTTTCCCCGTTCTTTCCAAAACAAAGTCAATATACTTTTTCTATTTTTTTTTTATTTGTATTATTCCACCCTGACTCATGTTTGTTACATTACCAGGTTTGAAGCTTAGCCTATGAAAAGGAAAATACAAGACCAACCTATTCTGACACTCCCTCTTCCCAACCCTATTTTTCATACAAGGTCAGCTTTAAAAAGGGAATCTTTAAGCCCTGGGCATGTGCTAATCCTAAGTAATGTGCTAGAAATGTAATGATTAATTGAATAAAGTTACCAACAAATAGTCACTGTAATAAAAAATATAGTGGATAGTTCCTGGGTAAAGAATTGTACTGCAACAGCTATTAACATTTTAAATTATGAAGAGTAATATGCTATGCAATTTCTAATTTTAAAATATTCTTTTTTCTGTCTAACCTTTTCTGATAATTGGGTAACAATAATGGGAGGTTTACATTTGTAGTCTTATGAGCTGGTGACAGCTGAATCATGTTCCTCTTGGCTTTAATATTATCCATAGTCAAGTGTGGCTTCTCTTTTGAATGTCCTAAGCTTTTTACCATTATAGTTTTTTGTCGGGACATTGGGAAAAGAGGTGGCCTTGTGCCATGGATAATAATTGGGGTAGATCCACTTTTTGCATGCTGTGATGATGTAACCCAAGAAATTCTTTTAGTAAAAGTCTCTCTAGGAGCAGGTTGCCTAAGTTTTGGTAGCGTTGACTGGTGTGTTGCTTCATATATTAGTAGATGGTGGTTTTCTCCATCTTGATGTTGATGGCAGTCATTTGGATTATTACCATCTGCTGATATGAGATCTCTGAGATTTGGGCTTTGTTTTGAGAACGGAGGTATGTCATCAACTTGTCTATTAAGAGGCATTGTCATTGCCTTCTCAATGTGTGAAACTGATGGGTTAAATGTTTGTTGCGTTTGAAATTTGGCAGACTGGTTTACTTTACTTTGAGTGGAAGTTTCCTGTTCTGCAAAGTGTCTGGTGTTTTCTTGATGATGTTGTTCTTGCTGATTTAAATCTTTATTACTCAAGGGAGTTAATCTTGCACTGGCACCCAACTTCTCTTGCTTTGATGAATCTGGGGGCTCCAAGTAAACCATTTCTCTCCCTGCAAATTTTGAAGCTAAAAAAAAAATAAAAATAATATTGAATATTGAATATTGATATTTACAATGTATTAATTCAGGCTGTTTATTTTGTAATAAAAATACAAGCAATAAATAATAAAATGAAGACATTATACACAAATTGTTTATTTTAATCAATGAGGTTTGCTAAGGAACCTCTAATAATACACATTGAATAATATAAAAACAATAAGGAGATTATCTCCAACACACTGCGAACACAGTACAATGCCTGATGCCTGGACTGGAAGTGCTGCCCGTCCACATTTATTGTTAGAGAGATAGACGCCACTCTTATTTGTGTTCTTTGCCCAGTAGCTACTTCTTGGTCTTTCATGTCTGGGTAAATGATTTTGGCTTTTTATTTTGGTTTTTGTGCCATCTTCTTTATTTCTGTGTGTTATTGAAGGCTCTGTTCTGTTATACATTCTTTTACTGTATTTCCCTTTAAAGTTTTCTTGGTTCTCTGGTTTTATTCCTTCAATGCTTACCTCTTCTTCTACATGTTTGTGTTCTTACCACTCTCTCTCTGCTGTTCCTCAGTTGCACTCCTTACCTTCGCATATTTACACCAGACATGCAGCTTTGCTTTAAAGAGAAGCGGGAGCATAAAAGATTTTTTTGCACTTTTCTTTCTTTTTGTGCATAAAAGATTGTGCTTCTTGACATAGCTGTTATATTACAGTCTATAAAGAGGGACGGGTCCTTTGCTAAAAAAAAGTTGTGCAGGTAACCAACAAGTTTATCGGTATTCCTTGTTCCTTGTAATATACTCACCACAGAGGTGATTTTTGAGGATTTCGCAGACATTACTCATTGTACTCCGATAGTTCAATGAATCCTCCTGGCAGCTGTCATAGACATCACAGATCTTCTACCTGTCCAGCTTCTATAATTTATTGGGAATGTACTGCAGCCTCCATGGTTGGAATATTAGTATGTAACTCAAGCTTCCAGAGCCTTCTGGTCACAAATGATTTTCTTCTCAGGGTTGCAACAGTAAAGCACATCAGGTAGTTTACTGTTACAAAGCTGGGAAAAGAATGAAGGGGATATGTAAGTGGTAAGAGAAAAATGCTTCTCTGGCTAGAGTCAGAAGTACTACTTTATCCTGAGGAAGGCAGTGCTTTATTTTACCCTAAGGTAAAAATATTAAAGTAGGCTCTCCAAATATTAGGCTCTAAAGACATCTGATTTTTATAGATAGACATGTGAATTCAGACTTAAAAATGGCCAGAAATTGCACAAGAAGAGTTGGAACATGCCATCTTGGCAATTAATACTTCAGACCCTCTTGGAAAGAGGTACATAGTTTCTTTCCAAAAGACCAAGCAAACCCAAGGCTACCAAGGAATTAAATCTGGAAGATGTTTCCACCAACATTATCTAAAGTCAAAAGGACACCTTATCCAGGTTACCAACTGGATAGGCCTAATCAAGAGCAAAACCTGTTTTAGGTGAGTTAAAGGAGAACTATGATGTGAGTGCTTTTCACTCACCTCATAGTTTTAGCCGACCTGTGACAATGAGACTGTCACAGGTCGGCTCAGTAGATCGGGAGGTGAGCAAACACATACCGGCGTTCGCTCACTTCTCGATCCTGTCACGGCTCTCTGCCGTGACAGGGGAGGGGCTGGATTCCCCGCTCCGCCAGCGCTGACTGGCGGAACGGAGGGGGGAGGGGGTGGGTACAGCTGGCTCTGCCTCTAGATAGGCACTCACGTAGCTGGGCGGATCCAGACATAATTGTCGGAATCCGCTTCAGCTGTGGCGTCTCAGTATACCGCGAGCTGTAGCTCGCGGTATACAGAGCTTAGGGTGATGGGAGGATGCTAGTTTGTGTCCTCCCGTTACCCTAAGGAGAACTATGAGGAAAAGCCCTAACCCCATAGTTCTCCTTTAATATCATTAATTACTAGATGTGTGTCATTGCTCACACTTTACTGTGATCCTTCATATTGGTAAAATGAAAATGGTGCTTATTCTGTTCGATCTAAATTATAATTAGAAAGGCTGCATGCTTTAATCTGTTAAACAGTTTCTCTAAAAGCAGTCCTCTTGAACAATTAACAGGTAATTTTTTCCCCAGATTACCGGATGCACAGACATGCTAATAGTTAACAGAAGAAAAAGAAGCACTTATACACTTGTGGTTCTGCAAGAAGCACTGGAGAACATGTACTGTTAGAAGTACTTGAGGTCATAAAGTGGGAAATATTGTTATGAAACATCTCTGCAATAAAAGTATATCAATAAAAAAGTACCTTTCAAGACATTTTCTTGATTATCTAACGTAATAGCGATTTCATCTTCTTGAACAGTTTCGTTCAAAAGATGACTCTTTTTGTTTTCAAGTGCTTTGTTTTCATTTTGCTTAGTTTGTTCTTTAAACTGAAAATCATTCTGATTATTTGTGCACCTTATTTGGTCACTGCTGTGGTAGTCAACCATTTCTCCATTCTGTGAATATAGAACAATGAATCACTCTTACATATATATAGAAAAATGAAAGCTATAGATACTTTTTACATTACAGAAAGCCTTAAAGTAAACATGAATTGAATTTTTTTTTCTTCAAAGTGTAATAACTTCCCATGGGTTGCTGCAGCAGATCTATAGCGATAATGTTCTGACTCTAACTACTGGCCCCCAAACCCTGAGACTGATCAGTATACTGATACAATTGCTCAGTACACAAGCAGGTGGTTGATGGGCATGAAGTTGTGGTGTGGCGCTCTGAGCATTGGATGCAGCTTTCAGGTTGTGAAATGTCTTCCTCTTTCATTGATGTTATCAGTATGGATCCAAACATGACCCTAAAAACAGAAAAGCAGGATGCTCTTCTGCATGCAGTGCCTGTACAAATGCATACATAACCACTGTTAAAATTGTACATAAGACTGAGCAGCACAAGGAGTATCTGTAAAAAATAAATCAAGGCAACTGGACTTGCGGTATTTTCCTTGAAGACATTTCACTAGTCATCCGACCAGCTTTCTAAATTCAGAATGACTTGTACAAAAAAATCCTATGGGTTTGAGAAAGCTGGTCGGATGACCAGTGAAACGTGTTCAAGAAAAAATACAGCAAGTCCAGTTGCCTTGACTTATTTTTTACAGATATACCATGACCTGGATAAATGAGAACCTTCACAGACGTAGCACAAGGAGTGCAGCAGAGGCAGAAGGTGTTTTGAACACAGTACAGTAAAAAATAATGGCCATTGCTGGTATTGGAAAATACTAGTTGTCTAGCCATGTTTGGGTTCTTTACTTGTAAGTCACACACCCAGAACAATAATGCAGCAAATGTACACAGGAAAATTTACCACTGCATCAGTATAACAGCAAGGCAAATATGTTTTTAAGGAGGGGTCAACAATGACAGCATCCAGATTTTTCTCATGATGCTGGTCCTGAAGGTAATTGTACAGGTGTGCCTGGCCATGTTCTGTTGAGGATGAATAACTATAGATTTTACTATAGGCTGGGTTCTTTAATAAATCAAGTTTGACCTTGGGTGTTCTTTCAAATGTTTAAACAACAAAATGTCCAGCTTTTCCACCATGGGGATAATGATCAGAATTAATATGATCTATAACATATAAGGTCCACATGTGTTTAAGTATTTACACATTACTGTACTGCACCATTTTCTTTAATTAGCCATATTAAATACGCTGCCTTTCCAAAAAAAGTAACCACCTGGATTTAGCTAAGCAAATAGGTCAGAGCCTTCCATTGGTTAATAGATCTAGGTTCAGCAACATTATGTGCTCAAAAAAACAAGATCAGCTGCCAACCCAAATATACTGAATGACCAGGTTTTTCCATCAATGGATTTCTTCTTCCCTGATGGCACATTGGGTATATTCCAAGTCAGGATTCATCGGGCATCACATTTTCACACATGGATTGGCCACCACAGTGTCCAGATCTTAACCCAATTGAGAATCTTTGGGATGTGCTGGAGAAGACTTTACGCCAACTCTCCAATCATCGCTACAAGATTTTGGTGAAAAATAAATGCAACTCTGGACAGAAATAAATGTGACATTGCATAAGCTTATCGGAACAGTGCCGCGGCGAATGTGTGGCATAGTAAAAGCTAAAGGCCGTCCAACTAAATATTAGAGTGTGTGACATTTTTTTTTGGAACAGGCAGTGTATTTTTGTCTAGTTTTACCAAGCATTGCTAGTCAATCTGAAATGTTGTAAACAGCACTGGCTTCAAGCAATTTTTTTTATTTTTGTCACAGTTTTAGCATTTAAACTGTACAATAATATTTTGGCCTCCATGACCTGTCTGTTCATATATGGTCCAGAAGTATTTTTTTTAAATCTCATATGGGAATGTACTATTCACGGGAAGCTGTGATATAGTAAGATTTTACAAATTAGCCTTAACGGGCAAGTGTCTAAAGGAAGAATATCTTATATCCCGTCTGTAATGTGTGTAGAGTTGTACTATGATTACACTATATTATTAAAAATGCTGATTTACCTTGAATAACCAATATTTACTTGGTTTCTTTAGAATTTTCTTAAGGAGCAGATAATAAGAAGCCACAATTGGTGAAGGTTTATTGTTTACCACCAGATGTGTAATTTTGGATATTTCTATATCCATGGTGCAGACCATATGGCTCAGAACAGCAGAATGTAGTTCATCTGGACGAAGCCTGCAAGAGAAATAAAGTTATTGAGTCAGAGTCAGTTATATATACTTTGGAAGAAGTATGCAAACGTTTATAAATGATATCAAGTTCAGTTTTATTTTTCTCAGAATTAAGGAAAACACTTCTTTGTGACATATTAGAGTGTTCGGCAGCTCATTGTTTTACATGCTATTCACCTATTTGAAACCTGCAGGCTTCTGTACTTTCAACCAGTTTGCCTTCATGTTGAATTCAGTAAAAAGATGTATTTATAGCAATCTGCCTTCTGTGACATCACTGCACAAATCTATATTACATAAACATACACTGCTAGGAGTGTTATATTTGCAGTAACCTCTGCAGATAGATAGTAGATAACTGACAGCACATCATGGAGTAATTGAATTGGTATTAAACTCTCAAACTTATGGAAACCAGATCAAACAAATATACATTGTCCAGCAAAGTATTTCTTTACATTTTAGCCCATACACTTACAGTCATCATGTTCCAAACAACACCAACTCTCTCAGCTTGGCTTCCCTGAACTTCCTGTCGAGTACAAGATCACAAGGGACAGCACAGTCTACAGCAGCTCTCCATCTACTACCTTGTAGAAAGGAGAGGGGAGGTGGGAGCAGGGAGGAGAGTGGCTTGTCTTGCTGTGTCTGTGTTTATGGAGACACAAACAGTTTACTAGCGCATACACAGGGTGGGCTCCAATAGGACCCTGCAAGGGAAAAAAGCCATCCTAAAACAGAATATCAGAGACAGTGTTCAGGGGACCAGCTTATTCTGCAGGAAGCTAAAACTTTTAAACATCAAGAAGCAACATCCATTGTAAATGATTAATCAGCATTTGAAATTTGCTTAAACAATGTTTCACTTTATTATCACTTTAAGTTACTTACATTCCTTTGTTTTTATACTTTAAAGACTCATGCTTGCTGTACTACTAAGGTCAGTGCTGAATTTACCATTAAGCAGAAAGCTTGTGCTTATTTATAGACAGCAGAGCTAGGGTAACTACTTCTTCTTTCTTTTCTGTTTATAAAAGTAGCGATTTAACCAGAGGTTGATGCTTTGAATGCCAAAAGCTGTGTGCCTACAGGCTCTAGTAATGGAAATCTAACATTAATAATGCTTAAAGCCTACTAATACATTGGTATTTATTGATGAAAGCAAAAGAATACCCGTTTGCCTTATGGTTAAACCAATCAGCTTCTCAGTTTGTTTAGAAAAGCTTTAAAAATGAAAGATAGAAGCTGATTGGTCACCATGCACAGCTGCACCTGATTTTGTCTGCTCCAGTTTTGTTAAAATCCCCTCAATATTTTGCATCTTCTGCTGTGCTTATCTGTGCTGCATATTTCTGACAATTTTTTAACCCCTTCCTACTCTGACTCTCAGATTCTGTATATCCCTATGCTGGCAATTATTCTTCTAGGTATTTCGCCTTTCAAAGACAGTAGCTAACACTTTGCAGGTCTGGTTGCTTTCAATCTCAGCTGTCATTGATAGCTTAGGTTTATACTGATGATTGGGAATTGAGTCAGCTATGTTTACATGGAGACTGGAGGCTTCCATAAAAAATAGCAGCCTTCAGCCTGAAGATGAACATCTGCAGACTGCAGTGGCCTCTTTTTACTGCTGGAATTGCCACATACGATTACAGTATGAAAAAATGATAAATATATATTTAAAAAAAAATAAAAATACATTTTTTGTGTGTATTTGTCTTTAATAAAACAAAAATAGCAGGGATTTTTTTTAAACCGTGTGTAAAATAAAAGCCTTATACGTCCTTAAAGTAATATTAAAATTATTTAGGTATGCAAGGGCACATGCTGACACTGCTACGTTTGGCCTGAACATGTAGGCATTAATGACCTCTGGATATGAAAGCAGTAATCTGACATGTATCTACTGTACAGTGTGACATTACTGTGCTCTTCTACAGCAGTCTACACAATGTACAATGCAACAAAATGTTTCATTCAGTTTTATCCCCTGTACTGTACAGGTAATCTGCTTCGACCACTCGCTCCTCATACATGGAAAGATTGCCCACAATTACACTGAAATGACAAATTTTATATGAAAATATCATCCCATGTATGTCCAGTTAAGGTATTGCCAATGAAAAAAGAAGGACAATATACCATGAGCTGAGTTGCTTGTAAATGGTGTATCCTAATCCTGCTGAGACGTGTACATTGCTGAGAAAAAAGCAGTGTAAGGTTTAGTTAGGGGTAATTAAATTATATATATTTTCCTGGTAAAAATAATCCCCCATTTTATTATGTCTTCTGCAGAGGTTACAAAATAATTGGAATAGCTAGGTGGTAATGATAACAATCAATGTATTATGGCTCCCAGCGCTGTCTCATTATCCCCAAAGTTGTTTTTCGGCTAATGTTGCCCTTGCCACCTCGAGCAATCCTCTAAAGCCCAGCCATTCAGTTTTACTTTGTGTCTTTTATGATATCACGCTTTGCAAGTAACAAGGTGTTATGAAAACAACATGCTTTTTACGATTTCCTGCATTTAAATCCAAACATTTAAGCAACATGACTCTTTTTCTATGGTTATTATCATCTCATAACACCTGCTGTTGAACTCATGACTTCCAAAGTGTAAATGTGCAAATACAAGAAATAGTGCGGCACTCACAAAATAATGCTGGTAGGAATCTGTTCTCCATCATTTGGCACTGTACATGATGATAAACAGCAGCAGGCCACAATCAGGTTGCTAACATTTCCTGTGCCCACATTTACAACTCTCCAACACAGGATAAAAACACTCACCTGGCCAGGTTTTATTATTCTATATAAATTATGGCTAGTAACATGTCACATTAGGAATGCAGTAGAGATGTTTTTTTTTTTATCTTTCTTCTTAAGTTTCCAGATAATGAGTTATTCAATGGGTGGACACACCATTCAACTGACGCTCTAACAACCTGTAAATATTTTGATGACTCAAGGGTAAACTGTGGCGGTTTTGCAAAGCTGCTAAATGGGGGAATTTATTGGTAACCCGTGTAGGGCTGTGGTAAATAAATAAAAGTGACTGAGCTGGTAATTTACTGCCTTACCATTTTTTTTTTGCATATAGCATGTGGGCATGGCCCATATCATTAGGGAAACATCTGTCTAGTCGACTGCTTCATAGAAACAACCCAGACTAAACTGTAAGAAGAAAAAATATGTTCAAACATGCTCTATATTACAGAAGAGACATGCTATGTCTCTTACATTGTGCTGGCCTGGCCAATTGAGATGGTTAAAGCTCTAGAACCTGGAAGAAGACCAGGTGAGGATGTTGGTGCCGGCAAAAATTGGTGAGTTTAGTTCCACTTTAAACTAAACGTGATCTGAGTGCAGGTTTACCCTAGGGCAGTAGGCAAACTCGGATCCTCCAGCTGTGGTGAAACTATAAAATCCCATCATGCATTTGTCTCTGGGATTCATGACTGTGGCTGTCAGAGTCTTGCAATGCCTTATGGGATTTGTAGTTGCACCGCAGCTAGGGGGCCGGAGTGCCTACCCCTGCCCTAAAGCATTCCAGAATTCTACATGATCTCAAATGCAGTTATATAATCCAAATATTCCATAGTTGATGGAGCTAGGAGTTTGGTTGTTCATTCACTAAAAGTATAAGAAGTCAAATTTGACTACCTGCAGAATACACAGTATACAAAACCGTGTGGCTATAAATATCTGTGATTATAAGGCTAGGTCTACACTGATGATTATATCTCTTTGCTACTAAGAGATCAATCACTTGTTAGCATTCATCTTATTTGCAACAGATTGAAATGAATGTGATTTTATTGTGAGATAACTGCCAACAAGTAGTTAAATGTCTCAGTAACAAGGACATGTAATTGCCAGTCTAGCCTTAGGGTTTGGAGGATAATTAGTAGAAAGCAAGTAGAGGAACGGAATTGAAATCTAGTCTGATTACAGCTCCAGAGCTGACCATACACTGCCTGTGAATCATCCGAAATGCTAACTGTGGGTGGCCCTGCCAGCACCACCTAGTTCACAAAATTGTGAGTTGAACAGTGACTGCAGCCATGCAGATACAGTCAGTGTTCGGGCATTCCAACAGCTGCGTGTGGTGGCTGTCAGAATTCAAAAGTTGAAAGTGGAGGAAAAAAGTATATACAGGATGGATGGCCAGCTTAAAGTGACACTAAACTTAGGAGTTAAATCTTGAAAATGTATTCAAGTACCTTAACTTTTAACAAAAATGTATCCTTTTTGTGTATCACTCAGCTGTAGATCCTCCAATTATCACTGAATTGGTGTTGATACTGTCCTTCTATCTCCAGGGTGGCTACTTTAGTTCCCAATGATCCCTGTGTGTGTTGTAGAGTAGCCACCACTCCAACCTTGCTCCCGTGATGGACTACAACCTCATATTTAGTTTACTAATTTGTCATGTAGTCCAGTATAATACTAGGTTGTCTGTATAGTGATTGCAGCAACATTGCTTTTACTCACATCTGGAGATTATTGTTTTCCTAGAGACAGCTAGATGCGCTTGTGAAGACTGTTCTGGCATTACTTTTCTCTTTACATCATTGATAAAAACAAATGATAAAGTGCACTCCTGTGAGAAGGACACACTTAAGGAATGTGGATAATGTGGAATGGTGTGCACTGCTCCTCAATACAGGGAGAGGAGCCCTGTAGATCACAAACACAATATAAAACAAAAAGGCTGAGGAGCGCAACTACCTAGGTGCGTGCTACTAAACTTGGTAGGCTAACAATAAACACTGATATAGGTGGTGACTTACTTTCCAGTTGGAGTGTGAGCAGGTATATCTGAAGTGGATTGGCATCCAGAGTCTTTCTGTTCCAATGACGAAAGGTGAGGGACTGACGGCTCCAGAACCGTGGATGCGGTAAGAGATTGCAGGCACACGTACTCGGCTGGCCAGGCCGAGCTGTGGCAGCTGTAGAGGGAAGGAGTGGATGACTAACTGCTGAGGAACTCAGCTCACCATGTGTCTCCACGCCGTGCTCAGGAAAACTGTCAGGGGTGCACAGAATGTTGTGTGCAAGTATTCTACGTCTGGGGGAGAGAGTGACACAGCGGGCAATGTCGGCAGTCGGCTACGCGTTCACTCTTTATGAAGCCTCAAGGTAGTAAAGACCCCGGGAAGTCGGTCGTCTTTTTAAAATTGTTAACAAAGCTTAGTGTCAACATGTAAGGTCCGTATTACCGACTTCTATATCACTGTATCACTGGTTATGTTGACATGCAGTTGAACTAGTGCTGCAACATCAAGGAATGCAGATACCACTAGTATATTGTGTTTAACTTGGTTTGTCTGATATGTGATAGAGAAGCCCTCCAAGGATCAAAGCTTAAGTGAAAATGAATTTGAGATACAATTCAAAAAGACAGTGATCTTAAATGTAAAGTCTATCTCAATAAACATGTAACAAAAACTCACAAGTACCTTTTACAGGTACATGATTGGCAGGTGTTGGAGGTGAATTCTTGCCTTCCTAATAGTATATTTACTATTATTAGCTAGTATTAATCAGATATCCCATGAAGGTCACAAAGGCAGTGAAATAGGGAGCCTCTGCCAATACCCTAATAACATATAAGCCAAGCAGGTAAGCTCTTCTAATGCTTCCAGTGAGTTAGGAAGAAACCTTTTCAGGGCGTGGATATTAAAGTAGACAGTGCAGTGGTGTAGTGTTAGAACTTCTGCCTTGCACCACTGGGGGTCCCAGGTTCAAATCCTGATCAGGACACTATCTGCAAGTTCTCCCTGTGCTTGTGTGGGTTTCCATCCCACCCCAAAGTTGGGAAGTGAATTGGTTTCTCTCTAAATCTTGTGAGATAAAACCCTTAGATTGTAAGCCCCTTAAAGGCAGGGACTAATGTGATGTGTAAAGTTGTTGGTGCTCTATAAATGTCTGCAATAAATAAAAGTGATCTTTATATACTGTACTGAACTTATTTAAAGGCTTAGTCCATGAGGTTGATCGACTAAAGGCAAATAGGCTTTTTATTTTGCAAAGGAATTTTGCATTAGGTTAGTAAGCATGGTGAAAAATCAAAGGCTAGGCAATCACGTACAAGATAAACGCCATAAAACAGTATTTTTGCTTGCGCATGATTGGATGATGTTAGTCAGCATGCAAAATGAACAGCCTATTAGTAAATAAAGCCCCTGTTTTTATGTAACACCTACATTTAGTGTGTAAAATAACACAGGGTTGCCTTCCTCCTTCCAAAGCGCCCCCTACTTACCTGAATTGCTTCTCTCTGCAGCCTTCTGTTTTTGTTTAAATTCTGCACAGGGGATCTGTGAATGGGAAAACTACTACTGCCACTGCAGAGAGAGGGATGTACATATCATAATGGAGTATAACTGCACTTGTAGTTCATTGTTTACTTCCTCCAGCCCCATAACAGAAGGTCCGTACCTCCGTTCAGACATGGGGCTGGGAGTAAACAACGCAGTAGCCTGACCATTGCATCTATGATACACTGGTTGCGGTTGCGGTTGCGGTTGCAATGCTTTGCAGGCTTCAATGCAAAAATTAAATAAATGTACTTTTTTATATTAATGTGGGTATATTTTTTAAATGTTTTCAAAAAATGGAGTATGCCTTTAAGAGAATGTGCCAATTGGATATATATTCAAACCATGTGCTCTGGACAGCAAGACTGCTGTGTGCAGCTCATTAAGAGGAAAACACCAGTATTTGTACTAAAGAATGAATGTGAAAAGTCGCTTAAAAAATTTCCAGTTGCAATTTGGTGTTGCCATAAATTCATCCCGAGTCACAGCAATATGTCTGCTGCCACCTGTCCTATAAAACAATCCTCTAGTTATTACAGGCATCCATCTTTTACTCGCCAAGAATTACTAAAAATATGCACTTAGTTTAAGAAATGTTACCCAAGCACACTACAATGCAGGTATGTATGACTTCCTAAAGAATAAATGAAGGCAATTTTACTGCATCTTATTAAACTCTATGGGGTCTATTTATAAATGTTTTCACAAAAGATTCACACAGCCTTTACCCAAGTTTCACACGTATTTACACGTAATCACACGTAATTGGATTCAGTTGGAAAACGTGTAAATCCCGGATAATTCTTGTGTGAAAAAAATTATATATAGACCCCCTAAGTGTGTTCATAATTGTAAGTAGTCGGTACTTCCAGCTGCAATGGAGGCTTACCGATTTTTGTACGATATAGAACTAAGACGTTTTCGCAGAAACCCATCATTTAGCCATTTGTTGTCCATGGCTTCCTTCACAGTTGGACGTTTGGAAGGGTCTGGCTCCAGGAGAGTGTGGATGAATCGAATAGCACCTGAGTAGGACAAAAAAAGGAAACTGTATTGTTGTGCATTGCAGTGGAACAACGAGGTAGCCATGTTCTGTCAATTTTAACTAGAGAATGAAATCACGTTTTACACCAAGATAAATTACACAGATGGTGCTTTCCATAATGGCAACTCAGTTCATTGTTTTTCTCATGAGATGCACCTCTCAATCTCATATTTGTGCCTCTGTTGCCTGTTTAGGTTTGTGTATTATAGACATGGTTGGAATGTTTTTTTTCTGCTTAATTCATAGAAGAAGCGCAAGGTTTCTATCCATTATACAACTTGATGAACATAGGTAGTAGAGAGGATGGCAAAGACTAGAAAGTTGAAACTTTGATAGTCAATGTAGAACATGAAGAGGGATCATAAAAGAAAACCTTGCATTTTTACCATGGCAGAGTTCCTTAAAGTAACATGTGTGAATCTATAATGTAACATAGATCAATCAGTACCCGTTGAAACACTACGTGGAATCGGGTTGATTTCCAGATTCACCATTTTCTGATGTAGCTGCTTAATGTTAAATGGCTCCACAGTAAAAGGAAGCGTTCCCGTCAGCATTGCATAAATGCTCACTCCTCTGAAATAGAATGCACAAAAACATACTATAAATAATATAATGTAATAATAATATTTTTTATCTACACTTTTAAATTCTGTTAAAATATATTTTATAATTTTGACAATGTATAAGGCATACCATCTGTGGCACTAGTGTCAGACGTCCTATTAGTTCTTCTATCTTAGCCCAAGTCCTGATGATCACTTCCACTTGCAGAATAGTTCTGCTTTATGCCTCCTTTAGTACTAGTGAAACAGCACATTGATCAATGAAAGGAGTAGGTTGGAGGTATCAAATGTTTAAGTACACTGCCTGGGCAAATAGAAGACTTTACGAGGTGGTCTGACTCTCCCATCATCACTACAAGATCTTGGTGAAATATTAATGCAAATCTGGATGGAAATAAATGTTGTGACATTGCATAAGCTTATTAAAACAATGCCAGTGAATGCATGCCGTTATCAAAGCTAAAGGCGGTCCAACAAAACATCTTTTAAATTACTTTTTTTAGGCCAGGTGGTGTATTTTATATATTAAAGGCAAGTTGTAGTGGTTTTTGGTCACACTTTTTATTTTTAAGGTTACAAGTTTGTAAAGTAATATTTTTCCTTCAAATGTTTTTGTTGAAAAATGAACAAAAGTAAACATTGCTACATGTAGTGTAATCAAAATGGTTACAAAGTCAGGGTAAACTGATATTTTATGTAGTTGTTATTACTATAAAAATTATATTATTTGTATGAAATCCTTATTTTACATATATTTAATACAGGGTGCTTCAATGCCTTATTGTTAACAGTACATGTTGGGCTGTCTTATAAGAGAGCCGACCTCTAGCTCAGCACTTGTTGAGTTCTTTTGCAGGCTAAAGATCTAGAAGCATATGCTGGTTGTAGAAAGATAAATATATAAAATGTATATGTAACATTTCATTTCTACACAACTAAAAAAAATGTAGATACTACATTTTTTTTTCTTTTAAACATAATACATATATCACACAAATATGGTAAAATGCTATTTACATCGACGGCCATTAAGTTCTGTGATTATCAAGAACCTTTGCTAAATCATATGTAAAGTACATTCTGTGCTCTGTAAGGGCAGTACACTGAAGTATTACATGCATAAAAGCTATTTCTATATATAGTTAACATCTGCTTTATGTATATAAATAGGAATAGATTTTCAAAAAGACATACATTCTAGGCATGTAGAAATGAACCTTGCACATTTACACAATGCAAAATGTGTAAAGGTTTTATTTGGATACCAGACCACATGCCTGGTGTTCTGGGCTGATAGTGGTGGGTCAAGAGGGCATAACATTAAGAAAAAGAAAGAGAGGAAATTGAGCTGCTGTACTTTAAACATTTGCTGCACATTTACTTACTCTGCACATTCGATCAATGGCATTGGCCAATGAATATGCATGGCTAGAGCACATGGATAGCTATAGATGTTTCCTCCCTTACTCTTTAATAGAGATGCCCTGGAACATTTGTGTGGTGCTAATAAAGTTGGTTAAAAATAATTGAAAGAAGATCTAGAGTGCTTTTGAAGATATGTGTTGCTTTGATGTTGATGTTTAATATTCAGATCCAAAGACTGCAAAACTTTCTGAAGCACTGACTTGGAACAAACATGCAGTTAAGTCAGAGGAAAGTCAGAACATCTGATCTGAATACTTGTTCCAGGTCAGAGACCCAGAAAGCGTTGACCTCTTTGGCTCAATGCAAAACATCCAGGCAACAAGTATCTTCAAATGTGCAGCTCATTAATGGCAATCTATGTATTAATTTCTCATTACAGGTTTCACTTAACTAGTAATTAAAAACAACTAAAAGTATTCAGTGAACTAGTAATGCTATTGAGCTGGCACAGCAAATGTGATAATGTCAGACAATTTACCCCAAATTAATCTGAATTCTGCGTAATCCCTTACATAAAATAAGCACACAGGTCTGTACAGGATTAGTAACAATGCACTTCTTGAAACCTTTGCTATGTAATTCCTTTCTTTCTGCTTCCAGCATTACTGATTGCCTTCAAACTTTTGGTTTGAATCTTATTGGTGAATGTGAATTTTTTTTTCTTAAATCAGACTTTCTACATGTGAGAGGCAACAATGTGCCTTAAAGTGACACTAAACTCTGGAGTTCAATCTCAAAAATGCATGCATGTACCTTAACCTTACAAAAATTTAACTTTTTTGTGTATCACTCGGCTGTAGATCCTCAAATCATCTCTGAATTGGTGCTGATACTGTCCTTCCTTCTGGAGGGTTGCTACTTTTGTTCCCCATGGTCCCTGTGTGTTGTAAAGTAGCCACCACTCCAAGCTTGCTCCTGTTATGGACTATAACTACAAATGAGCTAACGTAACATGAGATTGTAGTCCATCACGGGAGTGAGCTTGGAGCGGTGGCTACTCTACAACTACTCTACAACACACACAGGGATCATGGGGAACAAACATAAGCACCCTCCAGAAGGAAGGACAGTGTCAGCACCAATTCGGAGATGATATGAGGATCTACAGCTTTTTTTGTCTGTTTATAGTTAAGGTACTTGAATTAATTTTTAAGATGTAATTCCTGAGTTTAGTGTCACTTTAAGTGGTGTTTCAAGATTATGAATAAGTGCATTTTAGGGTGGCCACATTATATACTAAACAGACTGGGAAGGACTGGTGATGTACATCAATGCTTGAATGAAACATGAAACTCACAGCAGATAGGCTATTATCCTTGTATGCATCTCAAGGATTAGTTTTGGGTTTTGACAGGCGTGTGTATCTTTGATACCCCAAGAATCTCTCTTTACATATGTTAACTTTGAGAGTTACAGTATAACTACATTTTTGCAGAAGAGAAATGTGGATTGAAGAAATAACAGCCCTGTGATGTTCTTGTAATGTGTTTTTACAAACAATGTTATATAATCCCTTATTTATACTTACATGGACCAGACATCCACCTTTGGGCCATATTTTTTATTGGCTAATAGTTCGGGTGCTGCATATGCAGGACTTCCACATTGAGTGTTAAGTAGGTCTTGCGAAAGGCCTTCACACTTTATGGTGTTGCTTAAACCCAAATCTGAATTAAGTAGATAAGTAAGTAAACAGTAAGTAGTACTAAGTAAAATATTGGTAACACGTATACAAAAACAAATCTTAATTACAATCATCTTACACTTTTCATTACATAGTTGCATTTATTCTAATTGTACAGTTGTACTTTTGATTAAGATTTTTGGTATAAAATTAGCATTTGTTCATGAATACTGTAAAAGTTATACCAAAACTTAATGTTTTTCTCAAATATTTAGAATGTATTTCCTAAATATTTTCATATCTGTATATTTTATTTATGGATACACACTACATTTAGAGATCAGTCAAATACAACAGGAATTTCTATTCTATGGTGTGTCTATGTATGGAGGTAAGATATGGCCAGGACTAAAGCTGGTCATACGTTGAGTCAACTAATTTCATTTGAAAGCCTGAAAATTTCATCCAGACCTGCTACTTGAATGGAATCCCAGACTTATTAAACAGGTTTCTTTTTTGCCTAGCACATGCACATTATAATAAATAGAATTTTTCCTGAACAAAAATAACATTTATTATTAGAATTTTATTAAGAAACAAGAACAATTTCCCATCTGCTCCTTCCATTTTCCTAATCACTACGGTTGAACACGAATGTCAATTAAACTTCACTATCGACTAGAAAAGCAATTGAACATTCTAAAAAAGAAACTTTCTTGACTGAAACTCTACTGGTATATGGCCATATTAGATGAATACTCAGAGAGAATATTGAAATGCATTTTTTACCACTTTGGCAGATGCATGTGGTGAGAGAAGTAATACGATAAAGCTATTGTTGTTAAACACAGTGAAGCTGCTTATTATGAGGCTCAATGCATGACCAACAGTACCAACAATAGTGGTACAAGAGTTACATTCCACCATATTTCAGTGCGCCTAGATGTAATATATGAGGAATATCCCATTCCATTTAAAGTGACACTAAACTCAGGAGTTAAATCTTAAAAATGCAATCAAGTACCTTAACTATTAACAAAAATGTATCTTATATGATTATCACTCAGAATTTGTACTGCCACTGTCCTTCCTTCTGGAGGGTGTAATCTCGTGTTTCGTTTACTAATTTGTATTGAGATTGTAGTCCATTACCGGCGCAAGCTTGGAGTAGTGGCAACTTTACAACACACACAGGGACCATGGGGAACAAAAGTAGCCACCCTCCAGAAAGGACAGGGTCAGCACCAATTCAGAGATGATTTGAGGATCTACAGCCGAGCGGTGCACAAATAAGTTAAATATTTGGTAAAAGTTAGGGCACTTGAATGCATTTTGAAGGTTTACCTCGTATCTTCCTACATGCAACTCAGATTAAATATAGACTATGTTGCACTACCCAACTATTCCCATCACAAATCCAAAATGATAAATGGCAAAAATACCACACTCTTATATGTATAGGTATTAATTATTGCATTTTGCTAATGAGCCATACATGTTAGAGTATGGAGATCCACTAAAACTGGAATCACACCCTGTAAAGTTATAAGGAATGCCCTCAAAATGGCTTCCTTTAGTGTGCATTATTGCAGGGTAATTGTAAGAATGTTCACACATTGTGTGTAGTAGTTAATGCTCTCACTTAACAGCAATGCAACCACACACTTGCGCCTCTGCACAAATCTCTATAGCAAATGCAGTAGTATTTATACATGGATACTTTAAGGACTGGTTTAGCTTTAGGTATTGCTTGTCCTTATATATGTGCATCCAGCACTTGGGAAGGGGTTACTGTAACTGTCATCAGCGGTCACAATGGAGATAAATGAAATACATGTTGACCAATGTGCTCACTGTTTTTAGGCAAGCTGGGGAGCAGCTTTTTAGATCTGCAGTTGCCATGGTGCTGTACAATCGATCAGTTATGACACCAGCCATTTGAGGACCTGAAAGTTCAGTTGAGAGATGATATGAGCACACTGGAAAATGTGACAGGTATTACTAGAGGTATGCCTTGAATGTAGCATACACTGTGCATTGCAGAACACTGCAGGAAACAACAATGGTATATTTGATTAAGGATTGAATAACATTCATTGAACATTTCTACGTTGGTTTTTCTTTTGGGAAACAGTTAAATCAATCAGATTAGTTCTGTTCTGAAGTGTTCTATGCTCATAATTACCTACCAACAATTTTAACGTTGCCATTTTCGTCTAACAGGAAATTTTCTATTTTCAGGTCCCTAAATAATATAAAATAAACACAATTTGTAATTACACTGTATTTAAACACAGACTACAGTTCTCTTTACCTTTCCCCTTTACATCATATCATGATTTTATAAGTTCTAGCAAGCTAGAGTTGAAGCTTGCATGTTCTAAAATCACAGTTCAATATAGACTAAAACCAAAATTAACTGTGATAAATATGAGCAGATCTATTCACTCAAGCCTTACTGATAGATTTTTTTTGGCCAGTATGTATTTCTATTACATAACTCAGTCAGCTAATATCAAGAGCTGTAGTAAAACTTTGCCTTGGGATGCCAGTAATACACATCAAAATGATCTTACATGTTTAAATAAATCTGTCTAAAATATATGATTCTTTTAGTAAAATGTTAATAACACATTGTACTGAGCGCTGATATCTGGATAATGTATCATACTGCATATGCTGAAGTAATTTCATTAAAAGATACATTTTGATTGGATGATATGGGTTACTGCATTTTGCTGTTCAGTTTGTTAAATAAGACTGCACAAGGGGAGAAACACCTTTGCAGTATATGAGCTGGGATTCTAATGATGTATCAGTAGCCACTCCTACAATTACCTTAACTACATGTTATGGTAGGTCACCATGTTCTGAGACATGTTACAGATGGACACTGTCATAATCCTATAATTAGCTCTATGCTCAGATATCTATTGATTGGTACATTTTAGCAAAGCAGTGTAAGGTAAGTGACAAAGGCAGAGGGTATATGGACAAGAAATGAGCAATCATGTTCCTCTTTAGGTCTGTTTTTAATTACAAATGCTGAAGCCTTGTTTCTGTGCCATTGATTGTGACAACCTGAAACTTCAGTCATAGTACAAAGAACAAAAGCAAACTAGCTTCAAGCCTGTTTACCTATGAACTATTCCATGGCGATGTAAGTGTTCCACTGCTGACATAATCTGCCTCGCATTTCTTCTTACTTCTTTTTCTTCTAATTTCTTTTTGTCACAAATTCTATCCATCAAATCTCCACCTTCACATAGTTCCATCACCATATAAAAGGAGTTTTCTGTCTCTAGGGTTTCATAAAGCTGCACAATGTTTGGGTGTTTAACCATCTGGTGTATACGTGGCTCCCTCTTCATGTTCTTTAAAACATACGAATCTTGTTTGGCCTTCTTTTTGTCAATCACTTTTATAGCCACCTTAATATAAAACGGACTGTTAAAATTATGTACAGACAATAGATAAGTTATAGAAACATTTTATTTCATAGTTTATTTATTTGGCCTTTGTTCATTAGAAAAACCCCAAAACTAATATTGAATAAATGCCGATATGCTTGCAAATGGCCATCTGGTTTGATAAGCTTTGATTATTATGGCCTTCATGTCTTCATGTGCAGATTACACTAAAGGCCAAAGCCTTCAGTCACCATATGTATTAATGGTGCCATAGAGTTGTTGAAAGGAACTAGCTGCTACCTCTGTGCCTATCTTCATCTTGTCTATAAAGGTTGTATTTTGTATCTTGTATTTTCATTGCTAACTTGGATAGCTCTTGACCTACACACATATACTGTATATCATGAATCCAAGCCTGCGTGTTCATTCTCCTTTGGATTATTATTATTAATAGTAATAAACTTCCTGTTTTGTGCTCTGGTGCTGCTCATTTCTAAATTCTTCAAACATGAGATTGCCATCTTGAGTTTTTTAATGTCCTTGGTTTCTGAGAATTAATTTTAAATTATATCCCTTGTATGCTGGCCAAGACTAATTGACCTCAAGCATAGCACATCTATGATTACAGATGCAGAACATTTCAACACATTGCAGTCACAAAGGTATGCTAACTGCCACTGACCATTCAGCATGGCTGAATCTTCACGTATAGTACATGCTTCTTAAACCTGACTTCAACAGTGTATAAATGTTAAAGTTAAGGTTGTCTTATCCCCCAGTAGTATGTATTTAAAATAAAGGAGATATATTTTTAAATTTTACAAGGGTGTTAAGTTGTCTGTGGTGCTCATATCCACTTTTTCTTCTTGGTTATATAGAATTGTCTTTTCCCCATCTAGTTTGGAGATCAGATTCATTATCTTTATCATGTACCAGTAATATATGTATTTCCTTATTGTTTCTATGCAGCAATACAAACATACTCCTTTTAGTTTAATGATAACATATTAAACAAATATAATTCCAAATGTCCCATGTTTAATGAGTAGTCATTTTGAGTTATTACTGTATAGCTTATGTAATAGTAATTTTTGACCCGATGTTCACTACTGAACTGTAGAACAAAAACCGTTTACAGCCCTTCAATTCTAGCACCAAAATACAGCATTTTAGATGATGTAACTAATGGTACTTGACCTTGAATATAAAGTATGTATTGTACTAAACTTGTTATTTAAAATGCATAATCCAAGTGTGTTTTGCAAAGAATTTTGTGCCAAAAATGAGTTAAGACTGAAAATAGCAGATTAGCTTGTGCTGCTACCACCATTTGTTTTGGCTCATAGTTGCCAATAAAGTTCTTACATCTCATAAACACCTGAACACCAGCTAAAAATCTTTGGCACTAAATGAACACTGTAAATATCAAGATAAAATGTGAATTAAAAAAAATAAAATAATGTTAGAATGTGTGGCACTATAATTTTACATTTTAATATCACAGTCAAAGCAATCTCACAGGTATCCAACATAAAAAGAGTCTACACCGATTACTTAAAATTAATACAGTCGATTGAGTTGGTTGACTTGTATGAACTCAATCAGCACAACTGCCTGTTTGACCTATTGTTAAATATTTAAACTGCTTTGTTACATGAGATCACTGGCCTTTTAGTGTAGTAGTGCATCTTTACACCTCCCTGAACTTGCCTTCCTTCATCTATGAACATGACCTCCTCTAAGATTGCCCCAGTGCTCTTTCTAAGTTGTTCAGTCATGTCATTGTTCTGCATTCCTTTTTTCTCAGTGTCCTTTCATGTGTATGTATGGAATAAAGCAAAGTGTTATCCATTTACTGATTTTCTGTAATAAATATTTTTATTGTTGTGCCTTTTTCTTATATTTGTTGTTTAGTAGCATTGTTGTTGATTTTGTTGCATCAAATACTTTGTTACTAGGGATAGTTGAACATTAAAAAAAATACTTTAAGTTTGAACCACCAGATTAAAATCCCACGCAATCCACTTTGAGTGGATTGCGTGAGCATGATGTATTTCCCATTGCTGTTTCTGGATATCTCTTAATAGGTTGGAATGTCATACTGTACTCACCCTACTATAATGTTTCCAGCCTTGCTATTCAGCATCAGATTGCCATTTTATATGTGAGGTTAGACAGCAACTTTGTATTTGCAGACAGAACAAGGAACACAAAATAGCAGACAGAACAAGGAACACAAAGCCAAGGTTTGCTTCAATTACTATAAAAATTTTCAGGTCACGTTTTATATCTTCCAAATATGTGATCTTCTTACCAAAATTGTTTTAAAATATTCTGCCATGTTTCCATGCAACCGATATGCAGTATATGATACATAGATGAGATAGATAGACAGATAGATAGATAGATAGATAGATAGATAGATAGATAGATAGATAGATAGATAGATAGATATTGAATGTAGATAAATTAAAGTTTATATATTGATTCCAAACTCCAAAGTAGATCGCACATCACTTCTTGGATTGCCAAAAAATTACATATCAATAATATAAGATTGAGCTTTGTTGGGCACCACAACTTTTAGTGATTCTAAACCATTACCAAACAGCTTATTGGATTTCCAGAAAAAATGGAAAGGTTGGAACAAAATAACTCAGTAGGGTTATCTTTAATACATCCTAGCAATATATTATATAAAATGTAAAGGATGCAGTACCTTTTGTCCTGTAGGAATGTGCATTCCTTCCATTACTTTTGCAAAAGATCCTTTGTTGATCATTCTGCCAACAAGATAATTTCCCACACGTTTAGTGTGAGGAAAGTTCTTTACAATGTCTTCAGGCATCCCGGAGAAACAGGTAAGTATCTGCATTTCTCTGTTTTGTTTCCCACATTCTGTTACTATCTTATCTAAGTTGTCTCCATCCAGAGCAGTGTTGATGGCAGCAGGCATCCTTGAACTCAGGCTGGCTAAGATAGATAGATAGATAGATAGATAGATAGATATTGAATGTAGATAAATTAAAGTTTATATATTGATTCCAAACTCCAAAGTAGATCGCACATCACTTCTTGGATTGCCAAAAAATTACATATCAATAATATAAGATTGAGCTTTGTTGGGCACCACAACTTTTAGTGATTCTAAACCATTACCAAACAGCTTATTGGATTTCCAGAAAAAATGGAAAGGTTGGAACAAAATAACTCAGTAGGGTTATCTTTAATACATCCTAGCAATATATTATATAAAATGTAAAGGATGCAGTACCTTTTGTCCTGTAGGAATGTGCATTCCTTCCATTACTTTTGCAAAAGATCCTTTGTTGATCATTCTGCCAACAAGATAATTTCCCACACGTTTAGTGTGAGGAAAGTTCTTTACAATGTCTTCAGGCATCCCGGAGAAACAGGTAAGTATCTGCATTTCTCTGTTTTGTTTCCCACATTCTGTTACTATCTTATCTAAGTTGTCTCCATCCAGAGCAGTGTTGATGGCAGCAGGCATCCTTGAACTCAGGCTGGCTAGACAACTAATACAGTAGGTAGAGTATATGTAAAAGAGGAATATGACTCTGACTGTAGTAATTCCTCGTAGTCTATCAGGCCATTATCTAGAAACAGAAACATCTCAATGATCCCTGCTCTCAGTCATGTAGATTTGCTCAAGCACATCCGAGCTGTAGATTATTAGACAAACCTGATACATGCAGCCAGTCATTGCCAGGAAGCTGCCTGTAACAGTGACATCCAACACCAGCATTACCATGGAATGAACTGTGCATTTTTACCTGGTACAAGTAGGAGACCAAACGTTAAGTGGACTGGCTGGTGACACCTACTAGCCAGTCAGCTACTTCTAGATATATCCCATGCTTTACATACGTTCAAATGCCATAGCAAAATAGCAACTATTAGTGAAGTATGAAGTACAATAATCCTTGCGGCATAAAAAAGGATTAGAACAAGCATGAAGATGCTTAAAGTTGTAGACAGCTAATTATGGAGTTGGAATACATAAATGCCAACAGTCCACCTTTCAAAAACAGATAATATTGCTATTTCCTAATTCATCTTGGCAGCCTTTTGTTTAGCCTGCCTACTCCTTGGATAATAAATCAGCAGTGTAACTATGCCAATTCACTGACTAATGAGCAAGCAGGTGACACAGCTAGCTGCAAAATGGAAGCAGGAAATGCTTGTGTGTGTGTTTAGGTTTTTGCTTGGTGTTCAGTTTTAACAACACAACTCTCCCTTCCGAAGAAAATAAATAATAATGACATGCTCTTGTTTTAAAGGAAAATGTAATGAGAAAAAAGGAGCCCTCCATTACTGGAATCCTGATCTGAAAATGCAAGTTGCCTGGTCTTCATTCTGCCCCCCGTTCTTCAACAATTTGCTGACCAATTATGTAAATAAGGACATCTGTGATTTTTCTTACTTTTCTGATCTGCATACTTGTTCTGTGTCAATAACTAAAAAACTATTGAAGATAGAGGATTAGAATAGCCAGACAAGTAGCACTTTCAGAAGGCCAGCAATGGCAGCCCAAGTGCTTTCCCAGTTTTACTTAACAGTTGAACTGCTAGCCAAGTTAAGGACATTTAAATCTTTATACATTCTTAACAAGCAGTAATACACTTTAAAATATGCACTCACTGACCTATGTAGATGCAGCCACTCGGGAGTAATTCATTTTTAAAGTTTGCTGCCCCAGCTTCTAAGTTTTACTTTCTGTCCATAGCTTAGTCCCTCCTGTTAACAGTGAGTTGGCAGTCTGTTAACCTTCGAATCTGTAATGTAAACACAGAGCAGGTGCACAGGAAGAAGGTGGAGAGCAAAGTGGTGAGACCCATCTGGAACAATTTCGCTACTTCTATTGTGAACTTGGAGGATGAATTGTTCCACATTGGCTGTAATTACAGAGGTCAGTGAATGCCTATTTTTCAGTGCACTCACTACTTGTTAAAAGTATGCAAATATTTGAATGACCATAACCTGCCCGCAGTTCTACTTTAAAGTCTCATTAAACTTATACAGCCTTTTTTACTCCAGCCAGAGATAATGTTCAATTAATTTAAAGTGATATTAAACCCTCATTTTGCATGCAGAGTGTCCCACTAGTAAAGATTTTCTTCCACCTTCTTTCACGGGCTCCCATGATTGCTGCCCCCACCTTCCCATTTGTAAGTGGCTCTGTCGTGCACTTCCAACACACACAGGCAGCTGGAGCGGGCTGGACTGTGTGTCCAAGGAGTGGGTGCACATGGGCAGTGGCTCATGGTGTCATGACATGTAGTCTCGGGGAGGGGGGTTCAGGTGGACTTTCGAAGAAGTGATGAATGCGCACTCCCAGCTGGAGATTCAGGGAAGCGGTACACAGGAACCCAGAGGCTGCAGTGGTAAAGATTTAAATTGTATTTTTTTTTATCTTCTTCAAAAGCAGTTATTGTCCACTGCTAAACTGCTCCTTACTAGTGTTTTTAGGATAAAAAGTATGAGGCTTTAGTACTACTTTAAAGGCTAAGTTCACCCTTTTTAAGAAATAAAAAATGCTATGCAGTTGAGGAGCCCTAGCTATGAAAGCATTGTCCAGCTTGCACAAATACAGTTCAGTGGCGGCCGAGCTCAGCACCACTGCAGAAAGAAATGAGAGCACACACTGCACATTCCTTTGGTTTGTGAAGAAAAGGTAGGTTTGTGAGCAGAACACTCATTCCAGTTATGCTTTTTACACATGCTCTGGTTTGTAAGCAGATCGCTTGCTCATGTTATGCTTTGTATGCATTTGCTGGTTTGTGAGCAGAGTGCTTGTTCACATTATGAATGTTGGTGTGCACCACGGTTCATGGCTACTTGTCTTCTATGCCAGGATTGGGTGGAACTGTCATACCTGGCCTACAGGTATCTCATCTGAACTATACTGTATATGTGTAAGCTGAACAATGGTTTTTACACCGCTTGACTACACAGTACATAGTACAAAAAGGTGAACATAGCATTAGAAGTGTAACTAGGGTAAAAAAATTACATATATTATACAGATTGTCAAAAGCATTAACACAATAGTTTTTGGTTTTCTAAGTACCCCTATACCATTTTATTGCTGTTTTATTACCTGTTCACCCTGGAATTAGATTAATTATTTTACCAACAATTGTAACAGGCCAAGCTGTCAAGCAAATGGGGCAATTACATTTATAGGAACCCTCTATCTCAGCTGCTAAATGGTCAGAGCAGATGCAAATTAAACAGCAGGGGGCATCAAAGGTGAAATGCAGGGAGAGTAAGACATACTCTCCCCGCTACAGATGTCCCACACTGGCTCTATGCTGAGAGCTGAGTGATCCTGTAACTTTTCTCCTTTCTCCCTGCAGGAATTGCCCCCTCCCATAACTGACAGGGGGCTGACACAGCTGGCTCTGCCTCTAGAGAGGGCAGTGGGGATGGATCCCAACAATATTGTGGAGAATCCTTCCAGGCTGTGGCATGGCTCTGCCCTGTCAGCTGATAGCAGGCAGGAGCCCGCTTGATGCTAACTTTGGGTCACAGGAGTACATTAGTAAATGCACACCCGTGACCCAAAAAATGAGTTTCTTCTCAGTTAAAAACTGACAGCCTGTCTCTAAAATGTAATATACTGTGTTGGTCATTATAATTGCTGCTACAATTATGTTTTGGTTTTTTTTCTGTTTACTGACTGCTACACCACCTGTTTCAGCACTTGATTGCTGTGACAGTGGAAGGGGTGGGAGGGCTTAGATTTTACACTAATAGATTTTTTTTGTTCAGTCTGCCAGTTGAACAAGAGAAATCAACCAGATTCCTTTATCCATGCTTACTTTTATTTAGAGGGCTAGCAGAAGTAGAAGAACAGGATCCACTGCAAAGCTGCACAGTGAAGTTACACAGCCAGTGATGTGATGTCATAAGCACAGGAAATGCACGGGAAAGCATTTCTTTGTGGTGTGTTCTACATAAATGTAATGTAATTTCTAGACAGTGCAGGTAGGCATGGAACACTTTTCAGGGGCGGGGCAGTTGCCCCATAAAAATTTGCACTAGACAAATGGTTAAAGTGATACTAAACTCAGAAGTTAAATCTTATGTAGCGCTCCCCTCACCCCCAGAGGCCTAAGGTGACCACCAAAGGGCAGAGAGGGCTGACATTTCACTCTCAGGGGCAGATCCTTAGCCAATGAAGGGATGTGTGATCAAGAAAGTTGCACACCAGTCACTTTAAGTGCCTTTTTAAAGGCTTTATTGCAGAACATCAACTAGAAGAAAGGGTGTAGAGCTTAGAACATCCATGGCAAAAATAGGACAGACTCCAGACTGACCAATCCCTTTTAGTCTTTCACAGTGTAGAAACCATAGGATAACAGGGTGACACTGGGTAATTGAGCAACATGACTGTGCTCTTTCACCTTTCTGTATCAGGACAACAGAAACAAGAAAGAACCATGGAAATCGTCCCTCTCCTATTCTTTAAAACATAGAGGAATGTGGTCAACAAGATCAACAGGTATTTTTTTATTTTTTTTAGCGCAGAACTTGGTCTTGGGACAGCAGGGAGAGTAAATCCGGCCCTGCCCGTTGACCTCGGTTTGTCTGACCATTCTCCTGCTTCCTGATTCGGCTCTGATTGTCTGTTCGGTTCTGACCCGGCCTCCTCTAACTACCTCGCTGTCTACGATCCAGATCCTCTTTGGCCCGCCAGCTGCACATTCCGGCCACGCCTGACTCCTGTATCCAGCATCCTGCATCTAGCATCCTGCTTCCTGCATCCAGCATTCTGAATTCAGCATCCTGCATCCTGCTTCCTGCATCCAGCATCCTGCAGCTGGCATCCAGCTTTCTGCATCCGGCTTCTTGCATTCGGCTGTCTGCATCCTCCCCTATCGTTATCAGCAGGTCATCAGCATTTACAGGCACTGGTGTCTCTCTCCGTCC